TTCCAAGCACTGGCCTCAGCTTGACAAGGTAGCATTTCAGTTATTCTTTATTCTCACATTTATATCCTGTCTTTTTATCCAAGGCAGCTTCTGCAATCCTCCTGTCCTTCATTTTATCCTCACAACAACCCTGTGAGGCAGGCTAGGTTGGGAATCAGTGACAGACTGAACCAGGGAGCTTCATGGCCAAGTGGGTACTAGAACCTGGACCTGTTGAGTCCTAGTTCAACACTCACTACTGCACATTGGCTGTCATGACAGTTCAGGGTACCAAAAAGCTGTTCAAACACCCCCCTCTGGGGTGGGGGGTAAAGAGCAAGGAAAAATACAGCAAAGATAAGCTGCTCCGAGCTCAGGGTTCATCTCAGGACAGGAGATTTGGGTCTGGAAAGCTCTTGTTTATAGTTTGGAGTGGAAAGCGGGGAGGAAGGGAGAAGAGTAAGTTGCAGGGGCCAGGATGCAAATGGGATACTGATGCAAAACTCCAAGAACGGGATGAAAACAGGGAGACTTGTGCAAAGGGGGCAATTTGTTCTGATTGCTGCAAAAACAGTTCGACAGGTAAGCCAAGCGATGAAGGCTGCAACAGTCACACCTTTGAGACAGAACAACTTCTGCCACAGGGACCGGAGAGCACGCAGAGGCTTTTCCATCTGGACAGCTCAGCAGGGCTTAATGCAAAAAGAAGGTGCCCCTTTTGCTCCCAATAATAAAAATAACCTGGGCTGCGTGGTTCACAATTACTATTTTGTCCCAGATGTTTGAGCCCCCATGAGTGAGAAGCCCTGTCCCCGCTGGATTATGCCATTTCATCCCTTTAAGAGGATTGCAGTGGCGCTTGTGTTAGGAAGTCTCACAACATGCTGGATTTCACAGCTTCCTCCTGTGGAAGCTCATTAGGCAGCGGCTGAGTGGGAGGGCAGGGGCATCTTGCCAGGCAGTGCCTCTATTCTGTGCATGCTCCTTTAAGATGAGAGGCACAGCGGGAGACCACCTGCACTTAGGAAGGCCCCAGGTCGAAGCCCGAAGCTTCCGTTCAAAGGATCCAGTAGAAAGGAGCTGATGAGCGATTTGTGCCTGAGGCTGGGAGCTCTGTCCATTCCAGGCGAGGTGGACAAACAGGACGTGTTATAAGCCCACTTCTGATGTGAGCCCATGCAAACCTGCTCATTGCTGAAGCTCACCATGAGAGGCTGCTGCTCAAACGTACCAGGTCACCTGGGTTGGGTGCTGGCTGCTGAAGAGGGTCCCCTCGGTGGCAGAGCCCAAATTGTAGAACTCCTCCTGTGGCCATGTTTGCTTAAGTGCTTTCATTACCGTTCCTTTAGGTGCCAGGCAAAGTCCTTCCTGCCCTCTTGGGATAACAGCATTTGCATTATAATTAGGAGATTTAGTTTCCCTTTTAAACATTGGATGCTTGCTTTTATTAATGCATTGGCTGCTTTCTGCTTTGTTTTAAATGTTGGTTATAGTAGCTGCTCTGAGGCTTTTCCATAAAGGTGGGATATCCATTTCTTAATGAACCTTGTTCACAGAAATCTGCATACCGTATTTTTCGCTCTATAAGACGCACCTGACCATAAGACGCACCTAGTTTTTAGAGGAGGAAAACAAGAAAAAAATATTCTGAATCGAATGGTTTACTAAACTAATAAACTATAACAGAATATAGTAATACTGTATTTCAACCTTGTAAAGTGAACAGCAGTCAACAGTGGCATTAAGAACCATCATCACTGTCATTAACAAAAGAGAGACTTTAAAGTTCGAGTACTCTTCTAGTTTTCATTGAACCCATAGAACTCATCACCACTAGAGTCAGAATTTATGAAGCTCTGTTGCTCACAATCACTGACATCACTTTCTTAGTCAGTAGTGGAATTATTGAAGGAATCCACAATCTACACCAGTTATACAAGAGCTGCTGCAGACATTAATAACAAATCTAAAAAAGCCAGTAATGTCCACGCTGCCCTACTAGTAAATAATAGAAAAAAACTTCTGACAAAAAATGATATTGTACGGTAAATCAAACACACAGCAGACTAAGTAGCCTTTGAAGAATAAACTTCATACACGAAGGTAATGCTGTTCAAATATCCACTGACTCTAAAAAAAATGTGTCTGATCAACAGATAACTGATCCATGGAAAGCTTCCTGATAATCACAGGCACATTCCCCATCACTTCCCCATGGGCTTCATTAAAAGGCGGGTTGCCATTTGAAAACACACACCGACCTGTGATTAACGGCTCTCACCTGCGCCGGAGGAGGGGGGCAGAGCAGGGCGCGCCGAGCGCGTGCCGGCCAGGTGGTGCCACGTGGTGCAGGCGGCCGGCAGCGTGCCGGCGGTGGTCTTCCAGGCGGCACGGCGGCAGGTCTTCCCGGGCGGTGGGGGTGAGCAGTCCATCTCTCCGTGCTCTCCGTGCGGCCAGCGGGTTAAAGGTCATGGCTCCTCCTCCACACGCCTTCCTGAGAGGCACAGCTCTCACCTGCGCCGGGGAGGGGTGGAGCAGCGCGCACCGAGCACGTGCAGGCCAGGTGGTGCCACGTGGTTCAGGCGGCCGGCAGCGTCCCGGGCGTCAGGCACACACATTCGCTCTATAAGACACACAGACATTTCCCCTTACTTTTGAGGGGGAAAAAAGTGCATCTTATAGAGCGAAAAATATGGTATTTTAAAAAATGCCCATGCGCTGGAATCATGCACGCAATGCACACATACACTCAATACTTCGGGATGCTGCATATGGCAGAGTTGGTAAAAGATGGGATTGGGATCTACCGATAGATCTCTAGATAGCTCGCTGTAGATCAGCAAAGTTTTCTGAATTTAACAATTGTAGTTGGGAAAGGCTATTTCCTCCTAAGCAGAATCCCTGGCCTGAAATAACTCAGATGTAGAGTTATACTTTATATGTGGATCACCCAGCACACGTGGCACATAAGATGCAGCTGTGATGGATCCTGTTCCCCCTGCCGCCATTTTGCCTCCTCTTCCACCCGCAACTGCCATTTTGAGTTTGCTCTGTTTAGTGGACCTCAACATTCCCGGGGGGGGGGGGGGGGGGGGGGAGAAAAGGCAAAAGAAAAAGCCCCAAGTCAGTTCTGCAAGACTGAAAGTTGCTCACATCTGACCAACCATTTTGCTTGAGGAGGGTGAGTGAAAAGTGGAAGCATCATCTTGGGGGCATACTTTTTTCTTGCACATGCTGGAATGCCTCACTTGAAAAGGATGGTTGTTGCAATTCACACACACAGGGAGGCTCACATACACGCACAATCTAAAAAGGAACGTTTTGTTTAGCTCATCGTGGAATGTTATGCAACCACGTTGACAGAAACTCTACGGCAGCCTTCCTCAACCTGGTGCTTTCCAGATGTGCGGACCTGCAATTCTGTCTTTCCCAAACAGCATGGGAACTATGTTGTCTTTAGCTGAGTAACAGCCCTTGGAGAGAGAGAGAGAGGGCCTGCTATGTTTCTAGGTCAGAAAACCGCAAGTGCAGGGCCCCAATCCCACTGCAAATGGCAGTTCAGGACTGACACACATCGTGTAATGGCTACTTGCCCCGAACCTGTCTCTCCTCTAGGGAACCTGGAACAAGCAGAGATTAGTAGGTCTTCTGCAAAACCTTCCTGCATCTTTCTAACAGCATTAAACAACCTTTAGAAGCAACAGGAAGAGAATACATGGAGATGCAAAGTCAGCTCTGTGTGTTAGCCTAATGATTTCTTTACTGGTGGCAGAATGTCCCAAGGGAGGCAAGCTGAAATAGGATGGCACAGAAATGAAATTGAGGTCCAGCCTGCAATCTGATTATCCATCCCTGTCTCCCTCGCTGTCCCTGTCATGTCTGCCTGACCTGATTAACTCGATCCTGCATCACAGCTGCTGCCACCACTGCATACGTCTTTCCATCTCAGGGACTGAACAATCTTGCAGTCCGAGTGTCCAACAAACCAGTATCTGGGCAGCCTCCCAGATCTAACCTACAGGTTGGATGGGGTTGGAAAGAGGAATTTAAGCTGACTCAGGTGATGCCATCGTCTCGGGGGGGGGGGGGGGGGGACAAATGAAAAAAGCTACTGGAGTACCCCAGGGTAGTTCTCACCCCACAGGGCCTTTCCTTGGGACTATTATGTTACTGAAGCGATTTCTTCGACTTATTAGTACTGAAAGCAGCTCCACAGCTTGCATTTGAATCCCAGGCTAAATTACGATGAGCGCACCTACGTGCAAGCAAGCTCTGAGCTGAATGTGACAGACCCATTCACAAGACAACATTCCATATGAATGGTAACAATGCCAACTTAGGATGTAACCCGAAACTCGTTCATCCTGAAGACAGAATTCTTTCAGAAAGGCACTTGGGGGCCACTTCCAATGATGGGACGGTCTGAAAGCAAAAGTGGCAGGACCAAAAATACCATCTTTCTGGCTTAAAACTCTTACTGCCAGAGCTAAGCCTTAAGATTGCCATTTCAACCTTTTAGAACAGAAAAAATAGCACAAAAGCTGGGACTGGTGGTGCGGGGAAAGGGGCATGGCCCCCTGTGAAACACCGGGAGGTCAGGATGAGACCCCGGGCAGGTCACACCTGGCCCAAAGCCTGAGGTTCAACACCTTTGGTGCATCAGAACAGTGAGAAGTGTTGTTTGTTCAAGGTGCTTGCAATTACACAAGTCATGCCATAGTGAGTTATAGGACTTCCTTGGGTTAATGTTTATAGCATAAACACCTGCCAGAAGAGAGTAGTGATAGATTGAGGATTCAAAGTGATACAAAGGAAGACCAGACCCCAGAAAGAAAATGACAATCAGAAGCATGAATCTCTCTCTCTCTCTCTCTCTCTCTCTCTCTCTCTCTCTCTCTCTCTCCCTCCC